TCTCGGCACTTTGGGATGCTGAGGCGGGCGGATCAGGAGATCAGGAGATTGAGACCATCCTGGCCAACATGGTGAAACTCCGTCTCTACTAAAAATACAAAAACTAGCCGGACGTGGTGGCGGCGCCTGTGGTCCCAGCTACTCAGGAGGCTGAGGCAGGAGAATGGCGGGAACGCGGGGGGCGGAGCTTGCAGGGAGCCGAGATGGCGCCGCTCACTCCAGCCTGGGCGACTGAGTGAGACTCCCTCTCAAAAAAAAAAAAAAAAAAAATTACCCGGGCGTGGTGGCGGCGCCTGTAGTCCCAGCTACTCGGGAGGCTGAGGCAGGAGAATGGCGGGAACGCGGGAGGCGGAGCTTGCAGTGAGCTGAGATCGCGCCACTGCACTCCAGCCTGGGCGACAGAGCGAGACTCTGTGTTGAAAAAAGAAAAGAAAGAAAAAAAAATAGCTAGGTGTGGTGGTGCGGGCCTGTAATCTCAGCTGCTTGGGAGGCTGAGGCAGGAGAATCTCTTGAACCCAGGAGACAGAGGTTGCGGTGAGCCCAGATGGCACCACTGCACTCCAGCCTGGGCAACAGAGCAAGACTCTGTCTCAAAATAATTTAAAATAAATAAATGAATAAAAATAGAATATTTTGGTTGAGGGTACATGGGTGAGCTGTTTTATTTTATATATGTAGGATTTCTAAAATAATTTTACTTTTACCAGTCCAACTTCTATAATTTATAAATATGTAATAAATAGTAGATAATATTAATGAATGTGTTGTTTGGTATTTTGTTAGTTGACTTAAAAATGAGAATGATAAAAAAGGCATGGTGTCAAAGGCACTTCAAAATTATTAGTCATGGGGGTAAAAAAAATAAATAAAAGAAACCAAGACAAGTTGCCAGCATGGCTACACAGAGAAATTCCAGTTTCCCCAAAACTGGAAAATAATAGCATTTTCAGTGAGAACAGACTGCTTAACCTATAACAAAGATACCTGCTATATATTAGAAATTCTGTTTGTTTATCCTTAAGCAATTATTTTCATCTTGATAGTTTATTCTGATTAGAGATATAACAAGACTATAACTCTAGTCTCTTCTTGAAAAAAAAAAAATTCCAATGAGCAAGATGATTAATCCAGTTAAGAAACATGTCCAGCCTGGGGACAAAAAAAGTAGATCAAATTTTGGTTAGGAAGATTAACCAAGTGAAAATCCAGTAGCTGGAATTTATTGTAAAAGCCAAGAAGAAATCATCCAAGAAATAAAAAACTAAAAATAACCCTCAATATGGAATAAAAAAAGACATGGAGTGATTCTCTTTGCATTCAATAGAGACTGAGAAAACACAACTGTCAGAAGATTAAATATTGCTTTGGAATGTTTAGAAGTATGATGAAAGTAAATTAGACAATTGCTAGAAAAATATTCTTCAGTCGGTTCCCCTGCGCATCAAAAAATTCAACTTGATACTCCGTTTTCTTTTTCTTGACAAATTTAGGGCTTTTATTAGTGCTATGACAGAAAGAAGGAATGCTACCAAAAAGACCATTTGAATCTACTTTAATTATTTCAGAGTAGGGAACCCATAATTGGAAAGTAATTTATAACCTTGAGTTTGTAAAATCTGTAAACTCTCACAACGATGTGAAGGCAGAGAAAGTATCAAACTCAGTCCCCTATAATAAGCTCATTACTTCATAAATATACATCCCCCTCATCTATGTGTCAGAAATGTTTAAAATTTTCACCATTGGTACATTATTTTTGGGCCTTACATTTTTGTGGATTTGGTGACTACTTGAAAGAAATAAAATAGGATTGGATAATGTGAATTTCTTTTACACTCATTGTCACTATTAGAAAATAAGGCCCAAATAAAATATGACAGAGCAGAATTAGTTTTAATACAGGAAAAATTTGTAAGTTGAAGAGGAGAAAATGCAGCCAGGAACTAACAGTACACACCTAAGCAGTTAAGAAAGCGTGGATGATGATAAAAGGAAGGAAATTTCTGTCCTCCAGCTACTTTGAATTTAGTGTTCTGCCTAGCACTAATATTATTGAATCTTATGGTATAGTGCTTAACTATCTAATGAGATGATAGCTCTCCTACTTGCAGAAAATGTAGATGCCTTGCCTACCTCTGCTTGTATATATGCTGAAACATACTGATGTCTGCTGCCTTCTTAATTTTACATTAATTTTTAAAGTAAGGATTGATTTGATTAAAAAAATGCACTTGGAAAAATTATTCTGCTATTCCCCCATTTCTTGTTCATGTCTATTTACAACTAACAAGATTTGCATGCAAATAGATATATGGACAAGATCTCACTTCTTTTCATGTCTGGCTTCTCCCTGTTTACCCACAATTATTTTCATAATATTTTATTGTGATTCCACAAACCAGGGACAAATCTCTGAAGGGAAGAGTGTTCCAAGGCATGGTCATCATTAGAAGACAATAAGCTTGTTTTCATTCCAACATCCTTAGCTTTGTTCAAGGCTAAGTGGAAGAAATTAACATACTGCATGCCTTTCAATGAAAATTGTTTCTAATTATTTTGCTTCACAAATTATTCCACCAGGCATTGATTAGACTTTTAAAATTTATTTCATATCTGTCACTCTCAGCTAACATTTGTAATTTTTTATTGTTAAAGAGAATCTGTTAATTGAAATACAATTATCCTCTTTAGTAAAAGTAAATAAAATTACTTGGGTAGCCAACATATTCAAGTAATCATCAATCTTGGTCAGAAATTAAAAATAAGATGAGCATCTAAACTTGGCACTCAAAGACTGACCATCTGCACCTTTGAGGCAAAATGAAATTCAGTTAAGGAAAATCTTATGAAAATCAATGTTTTAATTATGCTGTCAAGGGCTGTGGTAGGCGGAAATTTCTTTGCCCCACCCCTCAAAGATGTCCAGTTCTTAATCCTGAAAACCTGTGGATATGTAATCTTATGTAACAAAAGGACTTCATAGATGTGACTAACGTTAAGGACCTGGAGGTGGAGAGTGACCTTGGTTATCCTGGTGTGTCCAGTGTAATCACAGGCATCTTTATAATCAGTGAAGGACTCCCCGCTGTGCTGAGAGAGGGGCATGCTGGAAGAAGAGTGGTCAGAGAAGCAACATTGCTGGCTCTAAAGACAGAGGACAGGCCACGAACCAAGGCATGCAGGCGGCCTCCGAAAGCTGGGACAGGCAAGAGAATGGAGCCTGCCCTGGAGCCTCCAGAACGCGTGCAGCCCTGCCTATTCCTTGCTGTTGGCCAGGTGAGACATCTGTCGGCCTGATGAGAACTATGAAACAATGAATGTGTGGGTTTCTTCACCACAAAATTTGTGTTAATTTGTTATAGCAGTGATAGAAAACTAAGACAAGGTTGTGTCTTGGCATGTCAGATTTTAAGTTGTCTGCTATAGTTTAGAAAAGCTCAGAGAAGGAGCTGCAATTTGTCTCTTTTTAAAAAAGAAAAAAAAAGATCACCTTCTAGGAGATTAAATATTAACGGGCTGGGTGTGGTGGCTGACGCCTGTAATCCTAGCACTTTGGGAGGCTGAGGCGCTACTGCACTCCAGCCTGGGCAACAGACTGAGACCCTGTCTCCAAAATAAATAAATAAGTAAATAAATAAATAAATAAAAATAAAGAATTAAACATTAACAGATTATTAAGTGAGGAGCTCTGTGAGACCTACCTTGGGTTTGCACCTACAGGTATTGAAAAGTTGGTACTTGAAAGCAAAACTACTACCTTAAATTCCCACTACACAAAAGTAAATCATGGGATTGAGGAAAATAATTTACTTGTTTGCTTCATAAAAAGAGTTATGTATCTCTTCGGAAGTTCTGTATGTTTTACAAGGTTGCATTGTTTGAACTGTAAGTGTAAATGGTTATTAACACTCCAGAAACCACGAGGTGCATTTGAATTGGAAAAATGGTATTCCTGTATCTTACGAATTAATTGAAATTTGTCTACTCTTGAAAATATGTCAAAAGTATTATGTAGCTTTACTACAGTTTTATCTAACTTCTAGAGGAATTTAAATTCATATAAAGATAAAGAGTAACATAGCAATGGAGTTTAGAGAGTTTTCAGATTTGCTCAGAAGACTGTTCCTTTGAAAACCTATGAAGTTTTACCCAATGTATATCTGGATCTAAAAATTAAAGAAAATATCAGTCGTGTTCAGATTCCTTTATATCCTGCAAAAGGGAGAAAGGATAAGCAACATCAATGGAGCACATAATATGTGTGGGGTTTAGCACTTGTCATATTTTTAATCTCAATACTTCAGCCAGATAAGTCTTCTTTTTTTATTTTTATAGATGAGGATATTGAAGTTTGCATTTCTTTTTAGAAATGGCTGTCATACAGTTGGCAAATAACTGACAGGAGAGTTCACTCCAGGTCTTACTGGCTCTCAAACCTTTGCTTTTTAAAAATTTCCAACCTAGCGCCTCTCCCTTTTAACTGCAAAATAAGCACAAAGTTATCCCAATTCTACACAGTGCAAAACAAATTCCTGTGAGCAAACAATTAGCACAGGCAGATGGAGTGAGGGCAGGTGGTTTATAACCATGGAAAACTGTCTGCCTGCTGGGAATTCAAGATTCAAACTCTTTGATCCTTCTCTCAGGGAGAGGTGAGGGCCTAGGTCTCCTCCTCATTAACGTGACGGATCCTTGGCTAGGTTCTCCTTTGACTGACAGAATATGGCAGAAGTAAGGCTGAACCATATACTGGGCTCAGGCTTCCAACTCTGACATGTTCCACTTCCTGTCTCCAGGAACATTCACCGTGGGTGCTCTGCGCTGCCATACAAATGTCAGATTGCACTGAGGCCACCATGCTGTAAGAAACCCCAAGCTGCCTACCTGAAAAGACTGGAGAGACACAGCACCCATCAGCTTTTCCAGCCTTTTGGGTCCTCCCAGCTAAATTATAGGCATTGTGAAGCAGAGATGAGAAGAGATGAGACCTCCTGCGTGCCCTTTCCAAATCACGGCTCAACAGAATCATCATATACAATAGTAAGTTTTTTACTTGAAGCCACTAATTTGGGGAGTAGTTCTTATGCAGCAAAAGATAATCAGAACACTGCGCCATGCAGGAGCTGATAAACCTGCTCACTGTTACGCATGTATCCAGTGACTACTCACACACACATTACTTGCTTCACTCTACTTTCTGGCTTTCCATTCAGCAAATTTTAAGAAATGAGAATGTTATTCATGAGAAATTAACTCAAGATGAATATTGTTATCGTTAAACTCTTCGTAAATGGTAAAATATTACATTATTGCTAGTCATTTTTATTTAAAGAAGTTTGGTTCTTTGAATGAAAGAAGTTTGGGTCTTTTGTGGATACTCTGCATATAGATATTCTAGACGTGAAAGAACGTTGAAGACAAAGAATGTTGAAGGCATATAGACATGAAGGAATTTTGAAGGTGGGTTCTTTTGTGGATACTCTGCATATAGACATTCTAGACTGGAGTGGTATGTCTTGTTCAAGCTTCTGTGTTTTTAAAATGATAACTTGACACACCTACCCAATGCCAATTTTTAGGATATAAATCTGTGTGAACTAAGGAAAATTCAGGAATGACTAAACCTACATATTTTCCCAAGAGAGACCGGATAACATAAGTCTTTATATTTTTCACAACGTTAAGTTTACAGCATCCAAATGAGCAACTGCAGACATATATATGGGATTTCTCTGCAGGGTTCAAGTCTGGTCTGGCCTGAGGGCAGCACTCTTACTGAGTGTGTTCCTAGGCATTCCTTGGCAGTCGGCTCCAGGCCACAATGAAGAGCCCTGATGATTCTCTGAGCAGGCCCAGCTTCCATTCACATTCATGGGAGTATGAGGATGACTTGGGATCTTCAGGACTAAGATAGACTCCTTCAGTTGGTGTGGGGTAAGCTCAGGTCATCTCTAGAGACTTCCCACAGTGGAGCTCATGCACAACTCTGTGCAGATGGCCCAGGACAGCCAGAGACAGGCACCTAAGGAGAGCACTGTCAGCAGGTGGACTCTCCACTGAGGGAGGTAGACGAGGGAGAAAGCCAGGTATCCACATGGAACGGGCCTTAGTCAGGGAGACTGAGATTTTGCTCTACACATCACAAAACGTGGATGCCATTAATGGAATTTTTCACAGGACATGACTGCCATAGCCATGATAGGGTCCCTGGCTAATCTTTAGGTTATGATAGCATCATAAGATAATTTTGAATATGAGGAGACAAGAATAACTGTAGAACTACACTGTCCAATACGGTAAACCCTAGCAACCTAAGGCTATTTAAATTAATTGAAATTAAAACTTTAGTTCCTCAGTGCCACTAGCCATATTCCAAGTACTCAATAACCACACACACTTGGCTACCATGTTGGACATCACAGACATAGACCATTTCTGTAACTGCAGAAAGTCTTCCTATTTGACAGTCCATCTCTAGAAGCAATCCACGGTCTTCAGGGCCCTGAAAAACTGAGGTGCTAAATCTCAGAGCAGTACTCTGCTCAACACTTAGTTAAAAGACTTGCTAATCTGTATAGTTGATCTAGAGAACAGCTAGTTCTTAGAAACTATGTTGCTGGACCTTATAACTGTATGCCAGGAACTTGGTGTTCTGGTGGTGATTTCTCATTTATCTACCATGTTCAGGCTTTTCCTAGCACTCCTATATCCATTCAGAAAGTATTTCAGAAGACGCTGTGATTTACCAGGTGCTATTGCAGGCACTGAGACACTGGTGAGCAAAACAAACAAGTCTCCGCCCTCAGGGATCTCACATTCCATGTGGTGATGCAGACAGTAAACATTCACACACAGAAGATGCTTTCACACAGGAGTGAGTTTTATGAAGAACAATTCAAAAGGGGTGTGGGGTGGGAGAGGTTGATGTTCAGGTGTTTACTTGAGAATGAGCTATTCATACAAAGAATCAATAATTCATTTGTTCCACAAATATTTTATTGATTACCAGTTATTTGTAGGCTACTTTATTAGGTTGCCAGTGCAGGGTTTCATTAGCACAATTAAAACACAATGACATTTGTTAGAAATTCAAAGACCCATGTCTACTCTTGCATAATGAATCAGAGTCTCGAGGTTATGGTCCAGAGATTGTTGTATTTAAAAATCACTGAAGTAATTTTAAGATATAGCTGTAACAGATAGGACACCGGCATTCTTCCTCAAACTCAACACACTAGACAATGAGAAATCATTAAAATGAAGTAAATATTATGATCAAGATTGTTTTGGCTTCAAAATTAATGACAGATTGGAGAGGAAAGAAAGTAAATTGTAAAAGACAATTAGGAAACTCAAATGTATTTAGGTAATAGTTACAGAGGAACAAAAATGAGTAGAATCTGTGATAAGAGAAAGAATAAAAATAAACAAAGGACTTAAAAAAGTAGGAATAAGACAGAAGTCAACAGTAACCCAGAAATTTTCAACCTCATGTCTAAGAGAACGATGATGCTATTTAGCAATATATCCAAACCAAAAATATTAGAAGTAGGTTGGGTTCACTTGTGATATTATAAATTTATAATTACTTTTTCTTTAATTGTGGATGCATGCTCTTCCTTTTTCTGAAGTTCTGAGACATACAAAAACAATAAAGAAAAACAAGATTTTATGCCAGAAAATAAGATAGGAACAATTCCTCATGTCCAATATAATTTTAGCCTCCCACATAATCCAAAATATATATGCTGCAAATTGTGGGAGTTTCAGAATTAGATCCAACGGCTTATTACAGTTAAAGATAAAAAGAAAACAAGGCTTTGTCTTTTTTAGGATCTTTTTTGGAACTTGCAACATAAAAATACTCTTTCAAAAAATATAGCTCAACATCAAAGTCCAATAAAACAGTAAACTGGTCTAAATATATTAGTATATTAGCCTGACCTAAGTCTGGGAATTGAGCCAGACTTTTCAAATTATACTATCATTATTTACAGAAAAAGGAAATGTTAACTAACATTATTAAATAAAAGCACATATACACACGCATAACAGGAAACAAAATAAATGTTAATGTTAACAAATATTGAAGATGTATGTGTGCATATATTATATATATATTATATATGTATATATATACACAAAGCAGATAAAATATCCTCTTGGGCGTGATTGGAAATAGTAGCTATGCCAGGGGAAAATTTATGCAATCCCCTTGGCTGTGGGCTACACATTTATTGTGTTATACAAATATGCAAAAAAAAATGCCATTTCCACAGTTGCTTAAAACAAAATTGCAATTATACATTAGTGTTTAAAATTTTTTTTTCTTTCAACTCCTTTTCTTAATGAATGGTAGATAATGAAATTTAGGTGTTTGCAAAAACAAATGTAGTTTAAATTGTACCTTAGTTGTCTATGAAATACAAATACATTTTAAATATTTATGGAAACATTTGTATGTGTTCAGAAAGTTGATATTTTGTATTCAAGATTGACCCTGTTTTAAGTCATATTTCATTTGCTACATTTAAATTGACTAAAGGCAGATACTTTGGCGTTCACTTTTTGGTTCATTATTAAGGCAAATTATAACTTCTGCTTAAGATAGTTTTCCTGATCGGAGTAGACATTTAGGCTACCTATCTACGAAAACATCCCATTTTTCTATCTGAAATATTTGATCTCTCTTTACCCATTCTAGGGTTTTGTGCATTTCTAAGGTGATCATCTTGGTGTGGGGTCCTGATCTTCCCAGTGACTTAGCAGCACAGTAATTTGGCTGAAATGTTGATGAGTTCAGACAAGAAGTAGGTGAGGATGACAAGAGAGCGTGACGGGGAAATTCTGCCCTGAGGAAGGAATAGTTTGAGGCTGGAGAGATGTGCTACCCCCGCCACTCTTTCTCAAATGATATTTATTCTTGAAAGACAGTGTAAAGTGTCTGAAATTGCAGAAGCAGAGTGGTTGCTGTAGAAATACATACCATGACGTGCTTCAACTCGTTTCTTTAAAGGTTAAAGAAAGAAAAATGTGCATCTTGAAGAAAATTCCAAACCTTCATTGTGAGCAGTAATCCAATATTTCAATTTAGAAATTCAGAGGATTTTAAACAAGAAGCAATTATTCCAGGCTAAAAGCAAATATAAATGCCAGCAGTCAAAAAACCAGTGAAAAGATATGATTAAAACTGAGATTTAAAAAATAGATATTTATCTGAAGTTCTTCACTTTCAAAGTCCACGGGCATTTTCCCTTAGGAAAAGAATAAAAACATTAAATGTTAAAGAAAAATGTAAGAAATATTATAAAAAAGATAATTATTCAGTCAATATTAGTATTTTGTTACCAACACCAAAGACAAACAGAATATTTTCCAATGATTGGAAGCTAGTTTGAGTGGAGAAAAAACCGCATTATTATTACTATTATTATCCATTATTTTTATTTTTACTTTTGGCAGTGTTATTTGCCAATCAGCTAACACATGGTAGTAGACTTGATTTTTTATTTATTATAAAGGTTATATCTTCTCATTGTAAGGGAATATTTTAACTACATTGTGCAATTGTACATTATAAATGCAGCAAGACCAGATCAAGTGAAACTTCAGTGGAAGAAGTTTCTTTTCTTGTGTCTAGGGCTCTACCTCCCACCTGCTACCTTAAGTTTTTAGACGCCCTGTTCCCCAGGTCTGTACTTGTATAATATACAAGCTGTCCTTGACATAGCATGTTCCTCGTTTTTCCTTCATTATTTTTAAATAGTTATGATATACTCTTAAAAACAAATTCAAATATTACTAATAGATTCTAATATTATCTTATTCTCTGAAATTAAGTAGTGATGTGTATTGTGTTAAATGTTTGTCTATGCTTATGCAACATACGAGTAGATCTGTCTCTGGGCCTATATGTATTT